TTATTCAGATTCTATTTTTTATTCACGAGATTGTTGAGAGGGTTCCCAGCATTGTGTGTGTGTGTGTGTGTGTGTGTGTGTGTGTGTGTGTGTACATTTGTAATCTTGTTGTCTGAAAGTAAATTATGTTGGGTGCTTGCCCCCTCAGGTTTGTGCAATATCACATTCTGTTTACATGCTCAGAGTGATCAAATAGCTAAACACAATTGTACAGCTTTTAGTGGGGGAAAACTTGGTGCCCCTCAGCCAGGGCTGGGCAGAGGCCCTATATTCTGTCTCAGAAAGGTAGTAGTTTGCAGGGTTTTCCTGTAACGGGATCCAGGCGGCCCATCGAGGCCTGCCTGCCCCTCTCTTCTTTCCTTTCTATCCCTAAAGAGTTTCTGGGGGAGAACTGTCTTTCTGGAAGATAGATAAGTGGATCTTAATCCTGGCTACACGTTAACATTACCTGGAGAGGTTTAACAGTAATTCTGTCACCCAGGGTTATCTAAGACCATTATTACATCACAAGCTCAGAACAGGGAGGGCCAGCACTGGTACTTTCAATGTTCCTGAGTTGATTCTTTTATCCATACAGGACTGAGGGCTGAGGGCCGAACAGCCCCCACAGTACCTCGCTTTCCTTGGCAGGGGATTAGGGCCTTTCTATGTTGGAGTGGAATTTTCCATTGTTGCCATCTTGACTGAAGGAGGACCTGAAAGGTACCCGGTCCTGGGCGGGATGCCTGCTGTGACGTCATCTAGACCGTCCTGTGTTTTTCTGCTGGGCCAGAGCATGGGCACCCGCACTGCCGTCTGCTCAGCATGGCCTTGAGCCACATTCTCTGCCATTGGAGAGAGCAGGTGCTGCCCAGGCTGTGTTTTTAGGGGCATGGGGGGTACTCATGCAGGTACCTCCTCTGCACCAGCTTGTCTGTTCCCTTCTCCCCATGGCTCTCCTGGTGAGAGGAAGGGGAGGAGGAAGGTGCGGTTTGGGTTCAGGACCCATCTTGGTGAGTCTTACCACATGACCAGACTTTTTCATTGGGGTTTACAAATGAGCATCAAACTCTGGCCACCTGGCTGAACTCGCCGCTCAGAACCGTCCTCCCACAAACATGCTTGAGATTACATTTCACAGAGTTGGCCAGGGCCCTGCTGATATTAAAGCCCCAGAGCAGAGATCTGACTCCCAAGGGATGATAGGACTCAACCAAGGCTACGTGCCAGTGCTCAGAGGGGTGGCCTGAATCTCCTGAGTTCCTGCATACCGCATTCTCTACTTGGTCCTGGTTCTGTCTGCAGGTCAGTCTGCTCCCCTAGCAGGGGAACTGATTCATCTTTGTAGTCTTTTAGCTGAGGGACACGCGCTCAGTCATTCTTGACCTTCCTGCCCTGCCCTGCCCCTCCCCCTCCCCTCCCCTCCCCTCTCCTCCCCTCCTCTCCTCTCCTCTGCCTGTCAGTCTTTTTGTAGTGCTGGGATTTGAACAAAAACCCTTGTGCTTGCCCTGGGTCTTTTTTGCCCTGGTTCTGCCCTGTACTGTAATTCTGCATGATGAAAAGGATGTGCCACTACACTCAGTTTTTGTGTTTAGGTGGGGGTCTCTAACTTTTTGCCTGGATTGGCCTCAAGCCATATAGACCTATTTTGTTGCTGAAGGCATTGTTACTCCGAGGAATCAACTGTCCTACCTAGGGAGAGTGTTGTTGGTACTTGACCTTGCCCCATATCCTTCCCACCATACTCTGCCCAAAGGCCGCAGGCTTTCTGCTGCAAGTGATAAATGCCATCCCATGGTTGCTGTCTGATGACAGCTGCCTGGGGGCCATGCTGCCACCTCCAGAGGGGCTTGGGTAGCCATGTGGCAGGACTGCTGGGTAGGACTTTGATCTCCTTGAGTCCTGGAGCCCTGCACGAAAGAGGGGGCTAGTGTGGGTTCTCGGTGCTGCATTTTCCCTGTCCAACTCCCCGCATAGAGGCCACCCTCATAGGCTGCCCCTTGACCGAAGCATTAGGTGCTCTGCCTGACAAAGCCCAGCCCCAGAGGCCTGGCTGCGGCTGGAATTCCCCTTGCTCTGGGATTCAAGTTGGCCAGGGGCCTGGGAGTGGAGGGTGTCTCATCTACTGCCCTGGAGCAGTTTCTCTGCATGTTTGGAGGTGGAAAGATGATGTCCTCTGCAGCCAGCTACCTCTGTGCCCAGGCGGGGAGAAGGGGCCTGTCTCCCGGGAAGTAGAGGCAGCAGATTCTGTGGTTTGAAGTCTAGAGAGGGCAGAATGCTGTGGCACCTGGGGCTGGGTCCTGGGAATCACCCTCCCGCAAGATCTGTCTTGTGGTCTGGTGATGACTGGGGTGGAGGAGGGATCACACTGCCTACTTGTACCTTGCTGGGCTGTTTCCAGTGTCCTTCCTTAGGACAATCAGGTGAGAGAGCCTGTGTAATAAGCCTCCCCCTCCCAAGACAAGGTACCATGTGTGTGTGGGGGAATATGAGAAAATAGATGCCCAGCAGGCAGAGGTTTTTGCCATGAAGTCCAGGGCAGGCTGCATGCTAGCAGCCTTCTCACAAGTGCCTGGAGAACTGATTGTGTCATGGAAGAATTTGGACTGGAAGAGGGGGTAAAACCCAGGTCTGGATCATTTCTAGTAAAGACTGCACTTGCCCAAGCATGAGAATCTCTGGGTTCAAATCCCAGGCCTTTTGTTTGTTTACCTGGTATCTTTGAGCAAGCAGCTGTCCTCATCTTGCTCATCTGGAACCTGACCAAGCTGATAACACTCAACCCATGTGTCCAGGGCTCTGGGTGACCCAGGGTGGGGCCATTTAGAGCCCAGTGGACATGAGTGGCATGCTGTCAATAGGTGAAAGACACGGGATAGAGCAGAGGGAACTTACACTTGGGCTGAGCTCAGCTGGATGGGTCAGAAGGGAAAGGCAGGCTCTGCACACTCAGCATTCCCTTTCTTAGCGGGTCTCCATTTTCTCAGGAGGAAGGGGTGACGGTACGTGTGAGAATTTAGTTTGCCGCCTATCCTTTCACAATAGTTAAGACTGATGAAATCTCTTAAGCTTTCTCCTCAGGAAACAAAATCTCTGTTTACCAAAAGAGATTTAGTCTGGTTCGTAGAAAATTAAATACATGTATAGGTTAAGATGTGGTCTCAGAATCTGGCTCTGCCCTGCCCAACAGCGTTAGTGAATGAATTCTCTGGAAACCTCATGTGGACTGAGGCTGAGGGGTTGGTCCATTTTCTACCTGATAGACTTTCTTCAGTCTTCCTAGTTGATGGCTTTCATTCGCCCTTTCTCAAGTGGGGTGTGTGTGTGGGGGGGGGCTCTGACAACTGCCAGTGGTCAGCGTCCGCTTAGTGCCGGTGGAGCAGTTACAGCTGGAACAATCCCCCAGTTCCAACTAGGGTGTGATTCTAGACACTTCCAGTCCCCCCACCCCCACCCCTGTGTGACCATAGTTTATCTAAAGAGCAAGGAACCCTTGACCTAACGACTGGGGGAGGGACTTCCCCATGCTCCATGGGCCCATCTGTTCACGACCGTCCATCCTGACACCTCTGCCCCCTGTGTCTTGTGAGTGTTATACCATGAGCCCCCAGCTCACCATCCCATGGGACAGACAGAGTGGACAGACTTGACAGGTGCGGTTTCCTTCTGGGCCATGGGGCGCTGGGGTGCAGACCCCTTGGCATGGAAAGATCCACTGTCATTTGTTGGATTCATTTTTTGGCAGGCGGCAGCCCACTAGAGGACCTTTGTCCACTCTTCAAGGACCCCAAGGTGGTTGTGCTTGGCTAGTCTTGACACAGACCCTGGTGAAGCTGTGTGACTGAGGGCTGATTCGAGAGGCAGCAGAGGCACTTGGCCTACCTGTGGTCTCCAGTGCATGCCTGGAACTCATTGGTCAAGCCAGGTGTCTCTTCTGACCCTCATCAGGTGCATCACTGCTTCTGTGGAGGGCAGAGAACATGTCTTCCATGGTGGAAGTCTCCAGGCCCAGGTCATGTCATCAGTGTCTAGTACATATCTACTATGTGTCAGTCCATTAGGCCCTGAGAACTCACACATGAGTAAACTGAATCCCTGTTTTACAGGACTCAGGCTTGCATTATGACTCATCACACCGTAGTTTTTACGAAGGTATTACGAAGTACTGGACACAGAGCAGTAAATGTAGTAGAGACACTGGCATAAAGTCTAGGAAAGTATATAAGATGAAAAGCGGAAGGCAGGAAGGCTTTCTGGAGGAGTTGACATTTGACCTGAGTCTTAAGATTGAGGGAGTGAGCAGAAATGGAGAGCAGTGTATTCAAAAACACAGGAGGTATTCAGCCCCTCTGGCTACTTATGAGAGGAGTATAGATAGGAGAGATAAACTGATCAAGGTCAGGGGGCCAGTCCAGCACAGGGTGGAGGAGTCAGGACTTTACCCTGAAGGGCCGGGAAGGAAAGTAGTGGACCTGTGCAGTGGTGTGCTGATGCCAGCGGGACTGAAGGCCTGGCATTAGGGAGTGGCAGTGCAGAGCAGGTAGGTGCAGACAAGTTGGAGGCCACTGTGTGATCTGGGAGAGGTATGAGATATGCCAGCAGCATGGCCAGAGTGACGGGGTCCTGTATGTTTCAGTCAGTTATAGTTTGGTGGGGCACCTGGGCTTTCCAGGCACTTTGCGCATCTGCGCCTGCGCTGGGGTTAAGGAAGTCAACACACACACAGCATTTGGGCCTGGCATGAGTTGAAGCAGTCTGATTCATTGTCAGATTACTTTTTTTTCCCCTCTTGTAAGTGGGGGAAAACCCACATCTAACCATGTTGGTGTGATTGGAAAGGGCCTTGGGCGCCCCTTGGGCTCTGTTGCAGCGTGTTCTTGAACGTGGGGGCGTTGCTGACACAGGCACTGGGTCACCTGACTGCTGGCGGCCAGCACCCAGGATCCTTGCCGCCCTCAGATGCCAGTTCAGATTCCAGGCCCAGTTAACTGTGTGGCATGTGACTCGAGCCGGGAGGAGAAGGAAGGAAAGTATGGACCTGAGAGGAGGCAGGCCTGCAGCCAGCAGCCTCTCTTGGCTTTCTGGGGTGTCTTTCCAAGCCCGTAGCTTTTGCTCATCAGCATTGACTTCCAAGGAGGGAAATACGTAAGTAAACTGCAAATGGTCTCAAGTTGGGTGTAATGAGTCTGCAGAGCTCCCCAGGACGCTAGAATGCCTTTACCTAGCAGAAAGAAAAGGAAAAGACAGATTGGGCCTGGCTGAGCTGGAACTGGCCAAAAGGTGAGCTACAACCTGTAGTGAAAGGGCGACATGGCCAGAAATAGGAGCTGAGACTGTGGGTCAGACGCCCAGGCTGCCGAGTGTGTGGTAGGCCACAGATGAATGGGTTGTAACTTGCCTTGGGTGGGGGTGTGGGGGGGAACACACACACTTCAGAAAAGTTTTTCTTTTATTTTAAATAACATGTGTGAGGTTTGGGCATGTCCTTGTGGGTTGCAGAAAAGACTTCAGGAAATCACTGGTATGTGACATGATCCGGGGACAGCAAAGCCCCCTTCCTTCTGCATAAAGCATAGCCGGCAGGTGCCTGTTCTCTTCCCTTCCTGCTCAGCCCTGACTTGGTGTACAGAGGCTGGCCTGGCCCTTCCCCTGCACTTGGGAGCTGATCCTGTCCAGTTACCAGGGTGGGGTCTGGGGAAGTCCAGCTCAGCAGGCAGTGAGTGACATGGCCAGGCTTCAGGGGCGTGTGGAGACAGAGGGCCTAGCACTCAGCCTCAGTTTGGGGCCAGGAAGAGAGCTGGAGTGCAGGTATTGCTCCCTGGGAGACTGTGGCCTGTCTCCTATTTGGCTTTTCAGGTTTTGGCCTAGCCCCCTTGCTGTGACGTGAGGAGCCCCCTTGCTGTGAGGAGAAGAGGGCAGTGTCCTTTTCTCGGGTCTGACCTTGGCAGACCTGACTGAGCAGAGGCAAGAGGAAACCTGGGTTTTTTTCTGCCTGCCTGGGAGCTGGGGCTCAGTGCTGAGCAGAGTAAGGGGTAAGCCCTCCGTTCAGGGTGGAGCTGGCTGCTCATGTGGAATAGAAACCCACAAAAGTGTCTGTCTGTGGCCCCAGCACCAAAAGACGGAGGCAGTGGTTTCCAGCTTGGAGGTAATTCAAGTTAAGTGAATCCAGACAGTTCTGGAGGGTGCCATCCTGTATGAGGGTTGTCCCCTTGGGGAGGGTTCTCTGGCTGCTGGTGACATGGAATCCAGACAAGAACTTGGGAATGTGGTATCCTACAGACCTTAAGAAGTTGTTGGCCAGTGTTTGTATTTTTTTTTTTTTTTTTTTTGCCAGTGCTGGGGCTTGAACTCAAGGCCTGGGCATTGTCCCTGAGCTGCTTTTGCTCAAGGCTAGCACTTGACCACTTGAGCCACAGCACCACGTCCAGCTTTTTCTGTTTATGTGGTACTGAGGAATTGAACCCAGGGCCTCATGCATGCTAGGCAAGCACTCTACCACTTAAGCTACATTCCCAGCCCTGTCTACCTAATCTTTCTTTTTGTTGTTGTTGTTGGTCATGGGGCTTGAACTTTGGGCTTGGGCATTGTCCCTGAGCTCTTCGGCTCAAGGCAAGTGCTCTACCACTTGAGTCACAGTGTCACTTCTGGTTTTCTGGTAGTTAGTTGGAGATAAGAGTCTCATGGACTTTCCTTACCCAGGCTGGCTTTGAACCATGATCCTCAAAACTCAGACTCTTTAGTAGCTAGGATTACAGGTGTGAGCCACTGGTGCCCAGCTGACCTAATGTTTCTTTCTTTCTTTTTTTTTTTTAGATTTTCTTTTGGGTCCATTCATGGGGCCTGAACTCTCGGCCTGGGTGCTGTCCCTCAGCTCTTCAGCTCAAGGCTAGCGCTCTACCACTTGAGCCACAGCGCCACGCCCGGCTTTTTCTTTTTGCTTATGTGGTGCTGAGGAATCGAACCTAGGGCCTTAAGCATACAAGGCAAGCTCTCTACCACTGAGCCACCTTCCCAGCCCCCTAATGTTTCTTTCTTATTTTCTTTCTTTGTCTTTTTTTTTTGTTGTTGTTGGTCGTGGGGCCTGAACTCTGGGCCTGGGTGCTGTCCCTCAGCTCTTCAGCTCAAGGCTAGTGCTCTATCACTTGAGCCACAGAGCCACTTCAGCTTTTTCTGCTTGTGTGGTGCTGAGGAATCAAAGCCAGGGCCTCATGCATGGAAGAAAAGCACTCTACCACTGAGCCACCTTCCCAGCCCCTGACCTAATGTTTCTCAATGGCCTCTCCTCTCATCCTTCTTCCTACCCCTCCTCCCCTCATACTAGTACTCTACCACTTTGAGCCACAGCACCACTTCCGTTTTTCTGGTGGTTCATTAGAGATAAGTCATACAGACTTTCCTGCCCAGGCTGGCTTTGAACCGCGATCCTTAGATCTCAGCCTCATGTGTACGTAGGATTATGGGCATGAGCCACAGGGACCTGGCTTTAATGACTTCTTTTACTGAAGGAATCCTTTATGCTACAGGGCAGCACAAGTGAGTACAGACAGTTGGGCACAGTTGGGTAGGGCTGCTGTGGAAAAAGCTGAGAAGAGGAGAGAGCAGGGCATGGAAACAGGGACGTGGAGCTCTAGGCCTGCTTCCTCTAGTTCTGCCTCTGTTTGCACTTGATTGCCCCTTCACTTCTCCGAGCTGAGTTCTTCTCAGCTATACACTGGGAATAATAGTGTCTGCTTTATAGCAGAGGAGCAGCACATAGGACAGTACAAATCATTCCACACTCATTGATTCCACAAAGGCTTTTCTTTTTGCAGTACTGGAAATTGAACCCAGGACTCTTGTACTTGCTAAGCAAGCGCTCCACCCCAGTGCTCACATATACTTTTTGACTGCTCACTGTATGCTTGGTACTGCACTAAGTGTGTTACATACAGTCTTGTCATTTCATTCTTACAGCCGTACTATGAAGCGAATAGTACTGCTGCTCCTTTTTTGTGTGTATATGGTGGTAGGACTGGAAATCAGGGCCTTGTACATGTCTAGCCACAACTCTGCCGAGACTCTGCTCTGCCAGCCCTTATTAAGGTTTTAGTAAGCAAGGTCACCGAGCAGGGGGGCTGGTCTGTATTCTGTCAGGCATTGCCAAACTACAGCCTGAGGACCAAATCTGGACCACAATTTGCTTTTATAAATTAATGTTGGAACACACAGCATCTCTGGCTGCCTTACTGCTGTACCAGCAGATACCTCATAGATGGTATTTACTACCTGGAAAAAAATGTCCTGACCCTTCCTCTAGGAGGTAACTGCGCTCTAGACTGTGCTGTTCAGTATGGTCAACTGGAGCGGTTTATGTTTAAACTAGTAAGTTCAGAGGAAAGTAGAAATTCATTTCTCCAGGTCTGGGAATGTGGCTTAGTGTAGAGTGCTTGCCCAGCATGCATGAAGCCCTGGGTTCCATTCCTCAGTACCACATACACAGAAAAAGCCAGAAGTGGTGCTGTGGCTCAAGTGGTGGAGTGCTAGCTTGAGCAAAAGAAGCTCAGGGGCAGTGCCTAGGCCCTGAGTTTAAGCCCCAGGACTGGCATAAAAGAGAAAAAGAAAAAAGATATTCAGTTGTCCAGGGGCCCAGCTTCCTCTGTGGCACAGGTGGGACAGTGCAGAGACAGACCTTGTCTTCATGGAAGCGTGTGCCACTGGGCCATTGTCTCCCAGTGTGCCGGGAATCCAAAGGCGAGAGACACAAAAGTAAGGAGGAGGCCTGAATGCAGAAGGTCCCCAGAGCTTCCCAGCCTAATGACACAGAATTGGGAACTATACATTGCCTCTGAGGTGACAGAAACTTTATCTGTCAGGACCCAGGGAACCTGAGTCCCCTCCCCTCATCCTCTCTGTGACCCACTAACAAGCCTCAGTCCTGCTGCCTGTGACCCTTGCTCCTCCCTCATAGCTCCGAGCTTCCTGTCCTCTGCACCTCTGCCACACCAGCCCCCAACGTGTTAAATGCTATGCCTTGCAGAAGTCTACAGAAATTCTTTTTCCTATGTCCCCTGTTCAGGTTGGGCTCGCTGGTGGGCCATCTGGACCCGATGGGTCCTATCACGTTCCTGCTGTGCTGGGACAGGGAGATTTTGGATCTGTCTCCGTGGCCATGTTTTCTGTGGGCAGCAGACGAGAAACCAACTGCTCTATGCCTTCAAAGGTGTGGCTCCTGAGTCCTGTAAGGAAGGAGTTCCAGGCACCTCAGCTGGCTGATGGCACCTGTCTTCCTCATTAAGCTGCTGTTAGCAGCATACACCAGTGCTGGGAGGACCTGGGAGCAGGGCTGAATGGTGGCTGTTGTCTTAGGTGGCCCCAAATGTGCCCCACTAGGAACCTGGGAAGCTGTGGAGTGAGAGTCATTTTGAGGAAGTGTAAAAGCAAATATGGAGAGCATGCATTCCAGTCACTGGAGCCAGTGCTACCTGCACACCTGTGCATGCCAATGGACTGAGTGTGGGCAGAGCTGCTGGCTGCTTGCTATGGGGTGGGTTGTGGTCCGGTCTGGCTGCCAGGGTGGCTCAGAGTTAGGCTGTGTTGTTAGGAGGCCACTATGCATGAATTAACCCCTCCAAGAAGATGGCCAGTCCCTTTATAGGAGGATGAAACATTTATAAAATGCAAGAATAGATGCTGGGAGGACTTTGCAGGACCTTAGGTCATAGTGAAAACAGGCACCAGCCAGATAGGCCTGGTGAAGGCAGTCCTACCAGTTTGGTGGAAGAAGTGCCCGGTCAGGAGGAAGGAGGAAATTGGAGTTAGAGGACAGTACATGGGACCGTTTGGTCTTTGTGCTTTAGGAGAGGAAATGGTACTGGTGGTCCCTCGGGAGTGTTGTCCCGCTTGCATCCTTTTGCAGTGGAGGGTGAGGTGGTGGCAGTTCAGGCTGTTCCTGGAATACTCACTGCTATCTCAGTTCTCAGAGGCTCACTGTGCCCCCCTTCCCCCAACTAATAAGTATACAATGGAAATTATCTGACTTTTCACTTGGAGAGTTGCCATTTATTGAGCACTTACTAGTACCAACCAAACTTGGTATATATTTTCTCATCAAATTGCCTTACAACGGTTTTGGGGTCATTACCTTCGCATTTCAAGGAAGGAACTGC